ACATGTTCCGAAAGACTGGTTACTTTCATTTACAATGGTCATGCCTTTTGAGTTAGAAATCAGAAGTCCTGGGTTCCAAAGAGATCTATTTCTCCAGTTTCTTAGCTACATGATCTTGGGCAAGTTACTCGACATCTTGAATTCTTTGTCTCTTTTTTTAACAAGACAGGGCCAAGGAACACCTCTTTTCCTACGTTTGGGTTCATTTTGGGAGTTAAATGAGATGTGTGAGACGTGTTTTGAAGGCCATGGTGGAAAGGCCATGATCAAAGACTTCAAGTGTCAATAGTGGATTCTGGAATGTCTGAAGACAGTGTCAGAACTGAAGGCAAGGGTGACCACAGAGACTAGGGTTGAAGACAAGGTTTGAAGAACTGATAAACGATAAGCCACAGGAGCACAGGGCTGGGTGTTCAGCTTTTCTGGGGCCAGTTTTTCTTTTATTGGCATGAGTTAATTATATGGGCAATGGCAGCAATCACCTTCAAAGTGGAATTTTATTTTATTTATTTAAAACAATTAAGCTTCTTTCTTTCTTTCTTTCTTTCTTTCTTTCTTTCTTTCTTTCTTTCTTTCTTTCTTTCTTTTTTTCTTTCTTTCTTTCCTTCCTTCCTTCCTTCCTTCCTTCCTTCCTTCCTTCCTTCTTTCTTTCTNTTCCTTCCTTCCTTCCTTCCTTCCTTCCTTCCTTCCTTCCTTCTTTCTTTCTTTCTTTCTTTCTTTCTTTCTTTCTTTCTTTCTTTCTTTCTTTCTTTCTTTCTTTCTTTCTTTCTTTCAGAGGGAGTGAGCAGGCAAGGGGGAGAAAAAGAGGGGGAGAGAGAATGCGAAGTAGAACAGAGGTGTAGAGCCAGGCACGGGGCTCAAACTCATGAACCGTGAGATCATGACCTGAGCCAAAATCTAGAGTCATATACTTAACCAACTAAGTCACCCACGTGCCCTACCAACTGGAAGTTTAAAGACGAAGTATGGCAGGAAAAAAAAAATTAAAAACTGAAGCAAGTGGCAAGAAGCCTGGGGGAAAAGAAGTTGGATAGAGTGAAGGAAAGGAGGCAGGGTTTTTTTGTTTTGTTTTGTTTCATTTTTTGTTTTTGTCTTGCTTTTCATAATAACTAAGGAATTGCATAGCAGAAGGAAGAGAAGAAAAAGAAAATCTGTTTTGATCCTGTGCAGGCAGGCAGGCAGGCAAAGGAAAGACGTTTCAAGGAAGGTTTTAAAGAGAGGATCCATTTCATAAACCACAGAAGCAGCTGCTTAGAAAGAATGTGTGTAGAAGAGATGTTGATTAATGAATCTGTTAGAATGATTTCCAGACACATATTGGCAGTAATTCAAATGAAGGGGGTAGGGAGCCTTCGAATCAGTAGAGAAGCTTTGATATGTTTTGGAGATCCTATCAGCAATAAAAAGACAAGCCTTGTGGGGAGACCTTGGTGGTGATGGAAGGCCAAGGCTAAAGTTTCTGCCCGTTTGCTTTAGGAAGGAAGGAGCCGATAGAGGAGGCATTGTGATATGGTTTAAAAAATGTATTTGTGATTCCACTCAAAGCTAGAGGACTATTTGGTAGATTTGACAGGGGAATGTGACTGGGAAATGGAAACCAAGGTGGAGGTCAGGCTACAAAAGCAGGTGGGGGAGGTGGGAGATGGGAGGGTGAATAGGCAAGATTTAAAATAACAAAAGCCCCCAACAAGGAGCAAACCAAGCCCATTTTCCCCCAAAACTATTGCTCCAAAAAGGGTTCAGAGAGGGCGTGGGAGGTCAACTCTGTTCAGAGCCAGCCTAGATTCATGTAGGGGTCTGGCATTCACGGAGTTTCGGCTTGAGCTAGTAAGAGAGCAGGGTGCAGGGGTTTGCAGCGGAGTCCTTGAGGGATTTGGGGTCCCCAGCAGCAGGAGGCTTGTTTACGGAAGCACAAAGCAGGAGAGATCAAGGCCACTGTGGGAACAGCTCCAGGCTGTTCCAGTGCTATTCCCTACCCTCTGACGCAGGCCCCGCTTCTGGGTGAAGGTAGGTTCCAGAGTCTGGAGTGAAAAACTAGACTCTATTCCAGCTGGACAGACAGTACTGGATGGAAGGAGACTAAGGAAGCAATTGTAAAAGAAGGAGGAGAGATCAGTGGAGCTGATCTTATGTACAGAAAGAAAATATTTTTGGAAGCAGTTACATGTGGGGTGTGGAAAGGAAGTGGGAGGGGTAGAGAGAGCTTTAGAAACGTAAGCTAAGTGTTCTACTAAGTACGTCATGGATGTAATCTCATCTTTATACTACTGCAGCCCTGGGAGGGATATATTGTTACTTTTAGTTTATAGATGTCTGTTCAGGTTTCTCGCTGTATATATTGATAACAACAGTGGCTAACTGTGATTGCGTTTATTATGTGTCAGGAGCTTACAATCTTTTTTTAAAATATAATTTTCCTTAAAAATTTTTTTAATGTTTATTTATTTTTGAGTGAGAGACAAAGTGCAGGCAGGGAAGGGGCAGAGAAAGAGGGTGACACAGAATCTGAAACAGGCTCCAGGCTTTGAGCTGTCAGCACAGAGCCAGATGCAGGGCTTGAACCCACGAGACAAGATCACGACCTGAGCCAAAGTCGGACGCTCAACTGACGGAGCCACCTGGGTGCCCCACAACCTTACAATCTTACTCTTTCTTACTCCTTACAACAAGAGTAGATACAAGTAGGACTTCCATTTTCCAGAAGAGAAAACCCAGACAGGGGAAGGTCTCACAACTTGCCTAAAGCCGCACAACCAGAAAATGGGAGCAGTCACGATGCAAACCCAGGCAATCTGTTTCCAGAGGCCAGAATTTTAACCACTGTAATGACCAGTCTCTATTAAGCCAGTCAAAACTGAAAGAAAAAGAGATGGAAGATACACCTATAAGGACTTGGAAGCCATTGTTTAAGAAGAGATCAGAACAACAGGGATGGGGAAGGAAAACCTCATTTAGACAGAGGGATCTAAATGCTTAATTTTTAGAGATGGGAGAAACTATTGATAATTTTAATAATAATGAAGATAATAACAACACAGTGCACATTTATTGAAGGCTCACTATGTGACAGATCCTGCTCTAAATGATACATATATTTGAATTTTTAGAACAATCTTTTGTCTCTTTTATTAAAATCCAAAGACCTAGGACATAGTAGGTACTTAATAAATATTTGTCGAATGGATCTTTAAAGGTAACTGCACATTTAGGAGGACATAGAGCTCAAGTGCAAGAGGCTCTTCTCCCATGGCTCTCTTGTTTTCTTACTTCACAACAAATATCTCTGTCTGAAATTATCCTGTTTCTTTCTTTCCTTTTTCATTATCTATCTGTCTCTCTTTGCATTAGCATGTAAACTCTAGGAAAGCAAAGCTTCACTCATCTTGTTGTGCTATACTGATAGCATCTAGAATGATGCCTTGGGCATAGGAGGTAATTAATAAATATTTGCTGCATGAGTGATGGAAGAGAGCTCAGGAGTTCAGCCTTGCAGAACAACTCATTCCCACAATAGTACACTGAATTGCAGGGCAGATAGGCTGGCTGCCCACTTGCTGGTACAGCATCTTTTTCCGGGCCTGTTCTCAAAGAGCATCTGTATACTCTCTCCATCACTGGCTCAACTCTTTATTTAGCCGGGTAGGCTTAGTTGTGGAGCAAGGAAGAAGAAAACTTTCTTGTTCATTTTGTTTTCAACAGAGATAAACACAGATCATCACAAAGGCAATCAAATCATTGCTCTATAAAAACAGCGCTCCTGCCTCACACCCATTAGGATAGCTACCATTAGAAAAGGCAAAAAACTGGAGTGCCTGGGTGGCTCAGTCTTTTAAGCAGCCGACTTCAGCTCAGGTCATGATCTCACGGTTCGTGGGTTCGAGCCCCGCGTCGGGCTCTGAGCTGACAGTCTGCTTCAGATACTGTGTCTCCCTCTCTCTCTGACCCTCCCCTGCTCATGCTGTCTCTCTCTCTCTCTCTCTCTCTTTCTCTCTCTCGGAAATAAATAAAACATTTAAAAAAATTAAAAAAAGAGAAAAAGCAAAAAACAAAATAGAAAGTCATGAGCATTGGCAAAATGTATAGAATTTGGAACCTCTGTACTGTTGATAGAAATATAAATGGTGCAGCCACTGTGGAAAACAGTATGAGAGTTTCTCAAAAGATTACAAATAGAATTATTGCATGATCCAACAATCTCATTTCTGGGTATATATCTAAAAGGATCTCTACAATGGCCTGTACACCCATGTTCATAGCAGCATTATTCACAAGAGATAAAAGGTGGGGGCCACCAAGTATCCATCGATGGATGAATGGATAACCCATATACAGTGTATACATAAAATGGAATATTATTCAGCCTGAAAAATTAAGGAAATTCTGACACATGAATAAATCTTGAGGATGTTATGCTAAGTAATTTTACTGGGGGCAGGAGAGAATAGGAAGCTGTTGTTTAATGGGTACATTGTCTTGCCAGATGGAAAGATTTCTGGAGATTGGCGGCACAACAATGTGAATATACTCAACACCGCTAAATTGTACTGTTAAAAATGGTGAAGATCATCTATTTTGTTATGTGCATTTTTTCACATTAAAAAAAGTAGACTGAGAAAAAAGATGATATATGTCTCATTTTAAACACTCAAGATCCTGAAGTGAATGACTCAGTTCAGGCAAATGAAAATGCAGAGTAAATGAAGGGAGCCAGGGCGTAAGACAGGTGGGAACAGTTACCCTGTAAATACCTGTATTAGAGATGAGGAAGGACTGAGCATAAGCTTTCAGTTTTGGGCTCTTGATGGTCGGTGTTGCAAACAACACTTTCTTCAATGGCTTTTTAATGTAAGGTACACGTAAGCATTTTACACAAGTCTCTATAGAGACTGAAGACTTTGGAGCCTGTGATGTTTACCAGCTCAGGCTGATGGGATCACGTTGTGGCTGATGACGTTGTGTGTGAAGTGACATCTCTGTTGCACAGTCCAGCGGACACTCACCTGTCTACACGAAGCTGGCAGACAATGCTGAGTGCATCAACAACTCCTTCTTCTTTCAACTGTCGACAGCCGATGGATGTAGCAATAAAACACCCCGTTCTACCTATCCCTGCACTGAAAAGACAAAGAGTAAAAAGGTGGAGGAAAAGTAGAAACGATGAAATAGAGTTTATTATTTATTTATTTAATTTTAATTCTGATGTAATATTAGTCTCGGGGGTACAATATAGTGATTCAACACTTGTTGAATGTTGAATTCAACATCTGTCACCCAGTGCTCATCACAACAAGTGCACTCCTAGATCATCACCGATTTCACCCATCCCGTCACTCACCTCCCCAAGATAAAAGACATTCTTTTTTTTTTTTAATGTTTATTTGTTATTGAGACAGAGAGAAGCAGAGAATAGTGGGGGAGGGGCAGAGAGAGAGGGAGACACAGAATCCGAAGCAGGCTCCAGGCTTTGAGCTGTCAGCACAGAGCCCGATGTAGGGATGTAGGGCTCAGACCCATGAACTATGAGATCATGACTTGAGCCAAAGTTGACTGAAGTTGACTCATAACCTACTGAGCCACCCAGGTGCCCCAAAGACATTCTTTTAAAAGGGAATTTAAATCTGAAACAGCAGCCAAGATTAGTAAAAGGAGCGACAGCAGCTCTCAGGCTGAGGTTACTAACCTGGCCTGGTGCAGTGCTTAAACTGCTTCTGATCATTGAATTATATGTTGTGCGTGTGTGTGTGTGGGTGGGGGGGCATGAGGAGAATACTGAAAAAGGCACTGTAATTATTCTACAAAGAATAATTAGGACCTGAATTTAAATAAGGTATAGGCACTAGAAAGGAGAAGAAAGACTTAGACACAAACATGAATCTAGGGGATGGGACGAAAGGTAGCACCAATGAGACAAAGGGAAAATTCGAGAAGAGGGGATGATTTGGAGGTGGTGAGGAGTTCCTTCTTAGATAGGCTGATGTTGAAGATTCTAGTGAATAACTGAAGAGTCAATTCAGTTTGGGAGAAGCCTGTGGCCAGAGGTACATATTTCTGAGTCATTTATGTCCAGGTGATAGTTGAATAGAAACACTATACATCCATGAGGGGTTGTCCATTCATCTGCCTCAGATGGTAAGCCATCAACCTGACAAGCCCTTTAACTCTCTTTCCCCATCGCTCTTCTCTCTTCCTCTCTACCCCCTCAGCAATTTCTACCACTAATAGTCTTCATGCAAATTTCTCTCAAATTTACATCTAAATTCCCTAAGTTTCTCCTAAACTCTAGATTAGCATTCCATTTTTTAGCTGGAACTCTTGATGTTACTATTTTGCACTGGCTTTGGTTCAGTGTGTCTAAATTCAATGTATCTAAAACAGAATTAATTCTCTTTTCCCTCAATGGTGTTACCAGTTAGCCACAAGTTTTCCAGCCTAGAAATCTTGGATCCATCTTCAACATTTCTCCTCTCTCACCTCCCACATCCAATCTGTTACCAATTCTTATATTTTCCACCTCTACTGAGACTTTTGGGATCCATGCTTTCCTTTCTATAAACTGTGCTCACGTTTTCGACATCTCCTTACTTCATCGTTAGCAATGATCTCATTATGGTTGCCAAGTCTCGAGTCTCTTCCTGGACTAATTCACGATACACACAGCTGCTAGGTTCATCTTTCTAAAATGGGGATTTTAGATCATATTACTCTCTACTCAAAAACTGTAGATGCCTTCCAGTAGTTACAGACAGTGTCTGAGCTCCCTATCACGATATTCATGACCTTGCATAATATGAATGTGACTAACTTTCAAGCTTTAGGTCTTTTTACTGTTCTCTTTGTACCTTTTGTGCAATTTTTTTTTTCATTTACATGAATCATTGCAAAACATGGCTTCTATTTTCCGATGTTCCTCTCTGTGTTAATGATATTCCTTTGGTCAGAAATGGTCTCCTCACCACCTTTCAAAATCACACACATTGGTCATTTTTTAAGATCCTGTTCAACATTACCCCAACTCTTAGAGGCTTTCTTCAGTCCTCATGGTTTGAGTGAATAGTTCTCTTCCTGGCACTCAAGTAACATTTATTTCTTTCTCATATGTGGCACTTGTTTCCTGTTGAATGTGAGAGTGCAGAGGAATTCAGAAGTGAAGGAGGTTCCTTTTAGTTGAAGAGTCTGTAAAGAGTTTGTTTCACTAAAGAGATAGGATTTGAACTGGATCCTATGAATGGTGGGCATTTTGCTTATCATGAATGAGAGAGAATATTCCATATACGAGAATGGAAAGAATTGCTGCAGAACAGGATATATGATGTACAATAGTAAGTAGACTAGCTTGGCCTGAAGAGAAAGTTATTTTAGAGAAATAGTGAGAAACAAGACTGGGCAGACATACTGGAGCCTGATGAAGGAGCTTGGGACAAGCTGAAGGCAAAGTACAGGCTAATAGCAATCCCCACCCCCCACCCCAGGTAGAATATGTGTGATATTCTTCAGAATAACCTCAGCCACTCCTGGCTACCCAAGAACAAAGGAAAGGGGTTTAAGTGCTTGCCATGTTAATGTGGGAAACTAAGGCAAATGAAAAATTAAATTCCCTTACTGCCTACAGCCCATTGACACGTCCTTGAAACCAGCAGAGTGACCTCCCTCTAGGAGCTCAGCTGCCTCAGATGATGACACTTTGCTAGAAGCAAAAGGGAATCTTAGCTTAACATTATCCCAACCTAGGATCCTGGAAGTCTACTTCAACACATAGAAATTCCTTTAGAACCTTCTTTTATTTCAACTCCCCCAAGATATATGCTGGCAATCATATTCTAAGCTTATGGCCCCCTGATTACATCTGAAGGGTCTCGTGACTGAGGTTTGATTAAATGGTAATAAATGGCATTTCTCTAGCAACAGCTAGCCCCTCAAGGTCCTGGAAACCTTGCTTCCAAAATATCTTAGAGACTTACTCTATCCCTGACCCCCTCCCAACCTGAGGGTATATATAATGAGTTACCCGTCATGACCCATGCAGCTCTTCTGCCCACAGTGGCAGCCCGTGCTTTAATAAAGTCACCTTTTTGCACCAGAGATGTCTCAAGGATTCTTTCTTGGCCGTCAACTCTGGACCACCTCACCATCACCCCAAGGCTTCATCAGAGCCTATAAAGGATCTTACATGGCAAGCTAAGACATTTGAACTTCATCTGCTAAAACAGTGATGCTTTGCTTTGTGTTTTGTTTTGGTTTTGAGAATTTGATAAAAACTGTGGACTTTCACTCCCCAGAAAAACTCACATAACTTTATGCACTCCAATTTGCTAAAGTAATTTCAAAGAGTTCACTGACCCCTGTAGTTCATCCATAGATCCAGAATTAATAAAACCCAAGAGAAGTGGGTGGGTAGGTTATGCTGGGGGTGGAACATAGGGAAGTGGGGTGTGTTTGTGCAATTAGTTGACTACTTCTAAAATACATGTATGAGGTCACTAGGGCCTGAACTTGAGTGGTTGGACAGGAAGTGATGATTATGGGAGAAGCTTTGAAGGGAAAACCAATCTGGTGACTGATTAGATACTGAGGCTAGAGTTGAGAGAAGGGCCAAAGATAACTGTCAACATTAGATACTGAGTGCCTGGAACAAAAACCTGGTCTTATTCTTAGAAATAGTCATCAGAAGGGGAGCTGGTTTTATAGGGGAAATGGCTAGTTCATTTTAGATATCCTGAGTGTTTTATGATTTTGGGTGGGGGACAGTTCCAGCCCTAAAACATGACCAATTAGGCTGTCTTTCTTCACTCCTAAGGGAAGTTTAGGGTAAGGCCTAATGCTAGAAACTGGATAATGACTCCTTTGGATAAACAGATATAGAGTAAATTTCATTCTTAATTAAACTACAAAGGCTCAACAAAGAAGGAGATTAAAGTTGTAATTTAAAATAATTATAATTTTATTTATTAATAATATCATCAAAAGCTATCTTGCAAGGCTTATGAAGTTAAACAAAGAAACTTAAATTATTTTGACCAAGTATGAAGAATAAATGGCTGGTTATAGAAATAACTTTAAAATTATTTGCTTTTGCTTGGGCACACTAACAGGAAAGGCTGGGGAATGGGGAATCAGTTATGAGAGTTATGAGTTATCAGTTATGAGAGGAGAGCTTCAAGCTAGACGTTAGCGAAGGGAACCACCATAGACATCTGTTGCTTTTCTTGGCCTACCTCCAATACCTTACCCTCCAATACACTATGTTCTGGCAACAACACTTGATTCTCCTTTTGGTGAACTAACCCTTGCTCTTTCCCCACTTCATAAATTTGTTTCCATCTGGTTTTTTTTTCTTTACGAAATAGCTTTAAAAATAGTGAACTAGTTTTCACCAAGTTTGACATAATAATAAATGTATCAAGATACAACTCAAGTAGGGTTCAGTGCCATCTTGAAACAACAAAAAAGCCATTAATAATCTTTAAAAATGGGTCATGCCTAGTGTACCTGAGGCTGACGACATGAAAGAAACCGATATATGTTTCAAGGTAGAGGCCTGAATAACGTCTCCTATTCCTTGAATCATTTATTTAGAAGTGATATTTTCTCTGCTGTGTAATTGTTTGACTAAATGCTCTAGAATGCTGCTTCATTTCTGGAAAGTATCATCTTGATCCAGACTCCAATATAGAGAAGTTAACCAATTTCAATAAATATGTAGTTTACCAATGAAGTCACACCAGGAAGCACAACACACCTTCTACCTGTTTGATGACTTTAGAGAGGCTAGACAGTTGCTTAGGCAGAAAGGACAGGTTATCCCTTACCTGCAGTGGACGACCACGGGCCCTCGGCCCATGGCAGCAATTCTGTCTTCTTCCACATCCAGCATCAGCTGTAGAAGGGGCTGGGCGCTGTCTGGAGTCTTGTGATCCGGCCATGAGGTGTACCAGTAATGCTTCACATGCTGGGTGTGACTTCCTTGCTGAAAATAGCAATAGCCACCAAATGCCTCATTTACTTGTGGAACTAAAAGTCATCCAAACCACAATACTGAATGCCTTCTATCACTCCCAGCTTGCTGGCAACTTACCTATGTTTGGGTGGAAAAAAAAGATCTAGGAGATTTCTGAAGAGTACCCTTCCACCTTGAGAAAACTTTACTATAAATAGGCTGACGTCAAAGTTTGACAGTCTTGAGAAATAGATATTTAAAATAGAAAATGCATATGAAACATATGCTGTATAGATGCTTGTAATTTGTTATAATAAACACAATGGTAGATGCGAAGGAAGCCAGGAGGGAATTTGAGTGGATTGTGTTTCCTGCTCTTTGAACATACTTGACAAGGGATGATAAACATATTAACCCTCATAGGAACACTTACCCTTACATTCGGCCCTACATTTGAATTTCTACATTCATCCCAAGTTGCAGTTTTTAACAGCAGTGAGGAGTCCCAGTAATAAGGAGCGAGAAGGGGTCACTAGATTAGAGTGAGTGGGGGAGGGTCCACACACATCATCTCAAAACCCAAAGCCTGGCTGGGGACTTGGCATGGAATAGGTACTCCAGGAAATTCCCATCTCGAACTTCCTTCTAAAAATCCTCAGTGTAGGGACGCCTGGGTGGCTTAGTCTGTTAAGTGTCCAACTCTTAATTTTGTCTCAGGTTATGATCTCACAGTTGTGAGATCGAGCCCCTCGTCAGGCTCTGTGGTGACCGTGCAGAGCCTCCTGGGGATTCTCTATCTTCCTCTCTCTCTGCCCCTCCACTTCCTCTCCTCTGTCTCAAAATAAGTAAATAAATTTTTAAAAAATGAAACAAAACAAAAAAACCCTTCGGTGTAGCTTGGCTTCTACTCTCTCTGTGTGATGATTCTGTTCCAGTAGGGAGGCTCTAGATAGGATTGAAATCTTTGAGAGGATTATTCTCTAGAAGCAAAAACAATGCCATGGCAACGTTCCTCAGCATCTGCTGCCCATAATTTAAATAAGATAACTTTTCTATGACATAATCTGGTCTGGGGAAAGTCCCCATAAATTACTGTAACTTTGAGTTTGGGAAGATATCGTCAACTTGCCTTGCTTCCCACAGCCACCCACAAGCACAGATTTTTTTCTTTCAGCTTCCAGGCTGTACTAAAAGCAGCTTAGAGCAAAGTGACATTTTAAAAAAAAAGGCAGGGGCACCTGGGTGGCTCAGTCGGTCAAGTGTCTGCCTTCAGCTCAGGTCATGATCTCACAGTTCGTGGATTTGAGCCATCAGGCTCTGTACTCACAGCTCAGAGCCTGGAGCCTGCTTTGGATTCTGTGTCTTCCTCTCTCTCTGTCCCTCCCCCACTCACACTCTGTCTCTGTCTCTCAAAAAATAAATAAAGGTTAAAAAAATAAGAAAAAAAATCAAATGGTGGTAAAGTCTCCAGTGCAAGCCTTTAAAGGCATTTGAAATATTAAATCAAGGATGTTTTATTTATAGAGATTAGGAGATCACAACATTCTACTCAGTGAATTTCTTTAATGCCTACTTACGTTAACTTAATTTTTCCATATACTAAGAGTAGCTGACAACAAAGAAGAAATACATGAGGAATGATCATAATTTCTCTTTGATTTTGACATTGTTAAAAATTTTTTAAAGACTATCTTAAAAAAAATCTTTTTTTTGACATTTTATTTTATTCTTTGAGAGACAGAGACAGAGCACAAGCAGGGTAGGGACAGAGAGAGAGGGAGACACAGAATCCGAACCAGGCTCTAGGCTCTGAGCTGTCAGCACAGGGCCCGATGTAGGGTTCGAACCCACAAGCAGTGAGATCATGACCTGATGTCGGATGCTCAACCGACTGAGCCTCCTGGGTGCCCTGATATTATTAAAATTTTAATTTGAATCTGCAGTACTTATTAAGGTAAATAATTTCAGAGTAGAAATGTAATCCTCTCATATCATCTACTTAGTAGATAGCTACAGCTACATAATCTTACCTTTAAGACAAGGTTTCGAACGGTGTAGTTATCACATTCATTAACATTGATAACCAGAACCTCAACTTTCCCATAAATTCCTCTCTTTTCTGGCCAATATAACACACATTTCTGGAGGAGGAGAAAAAAAGAACACAACAGATATTAATGATTTCACTGGTCTTAGGGTACTTTTCATTCAAGCATCTCAAGAGTTTTTATTTAATTAAATAAAAAAATCAAGTATCAGTTTCATAAGGCTGATGTACTAAAACTCAGTGAGTTGTACATTTAAACAGGTGATTTATGGTATGCAAATTATATCTCAATAAAATTTTAAAAAGAAAGTATCAGTTTTTACACGTGCCTGTCAAACACTATTGCTAATAATCCCATACAAAAATAAGGGCAAAATTTCCCAAAACTCCACATAAAAATTAAGAACTAAATTGAGAAATTAAGAATTAAGAAATTAAGATCCAAATATTAGACTTTATCACGTGATGACTTGACATAAAAGGAATGCTCTTTCACAATGACTGAGCCAAGTCAAATTTTCCTGCTGCATGAAGTTCAAGTGTCTCATAAGAGTATCTGTAATGTTTCAGATGCCACAGAATGAGATCTCTCTAGTATGTAAAGGGAATGTAATGATCATTAATACATCTATGGCATTATATTTTCCAGGATCAATGGTCTTTTCCCATATAGGGTACTAAATGTGTAACAAAATTATTAAAAATTTTTTATAATAGATCCTCTTTGAAAGTTTTAATAAGAATAATAATAATTGTATCACAACCAAGGCAATATAATATGGTATTTAAGGTGCAAGCTTTGGAGCCAGAGGACCTGGGTCCAAATTTTGGTTTCACCACTTATTATTAGCTGTGAATCTGTAAGACAGATAATGTAATGTCTCTGGCCTCAGTTTCCTCATCATTTAATACATGAAAAGCACTTCAGACAAAGCCAGACATATAGTAAGCATTGAAAACACATTGTTCTTATTATGGTTGCTCTATTTTTAGGTTTTTGATCTAACTGATTCAATCATTACTTAATTATACATTAGGTAAAGCAGTAAATATTGCATTATTATGAAATTCAAGCTCCATTAAAAGAAAACTACAAAATAAGATTCAAGCACACATATAGACCCTTATTATTTAGTATCTTGCCTTTTAAACATCTGCCAAAAAAAAAAAAAAACCCTATGAATTTTACCACACATTTCAATGATTAAGAATGTAAAGTGTGAATGCTGCTGTTTTATTTTAAGTGCCTGGAGAGGCAATGTTCATTTTAGAAATACTGTTTAAGTAGACCTTATAATTTTCTTGCAAACACACATGCCCATTTATAGAGAAATTTCTTCACTAGTTGCCCTCAGTCAGTCAGACCTTTTAGTACTCAGGATACTTGTTTCTTTACATCTATGTCAAAGGCATAGGACCTTACATGAAAAAAATTAAGAACTTATAGATTCAAAAGAGCAGCAAAAGAAAGAATCACAGATTTATAGAACTACAGGAAAAGACATGTACATTATCAGAAACACATATCGGGTATTTTATCTTGTTAAGTACTAGCCAAGCCAGGTTGGAAGTCACTTGGCCTGCTGGAATCACCGTTTCTTTCATCCATTATAATAAAAACACATTTGCATCCTCTACATTCTGGTCCTTTTCCAAACAAAGTAAATCATTTTCACCTCTATTTACATGCCACCCCACACCCAAGACCGGCAGGCAATCAGGCTGAAGGCATACTCTGGCTGAAACAACATTCACATCAAGAAAAGAAATCTTTTAAAAATAAAGCAATGTATTCCTCTCCTCATTTCCTAGTGCCAAGTGTCTGAAATTTCCCAGGTTTGTTAAAGAGAAGCATACTAACCAATTTGCCTGGTTTCTTTCAATGAAGCTTCAATTATTTCGCTGTAAGACCCGAGCTATTGTGTACCTTAAAACCCATGCCTCCTGGATGCGTCCAAGAAGAGTGACAAAGAATCTTGAAAAAAGTACTGAACAAAGCAAGAGGCATTCAGCGGTCCAGCGGTCTGGCATACGTGTCCCATTGTCCACGATGAGACCTGAGCAGCAGGCCCCTCTTTGGGAAGGTGGCTCTTGAAACCCGTAGGAAAAAGCTGCAAACCAGGAGCTCAAAGCCTGTACCCTGACTCTTAACAATACTTGAACAGGCTTGTGCACCTACTTGATAAATGGAAGCGGTGCTTGCTTCTCTCTCAAGCTTGCCGGGGCCCTCTTGGATGTTTTTCTTGACTCTTTACCAAAAATTCAATTGGCAGTCAGCTCCCACTAGACAATGCAATGTGACTTGTTCATTCAAACAACCCTTAATTAGCATCCCATCTCCTTTCTGAGATACAATAGCTTATTTTTACGCACTGAATACATTTTTCCCCCTTTTAGGAGAACAGAGAAAAAGAGACCAGATAAGTGTGGGTTCTTTTTGAATATGAGGTGGGGGAGAGCTGCAAATGTAGTTGTTTAAAGAGCAGAAGGTCATGTTCAGATTATTTTTGTGCACAGCTTTTTAGGGTTTCTTTATTGTGGGGCTAACAATGATATGAAAGAGGCAGAAAATGCAAGGAAGGAAAATGCTCTCTTACAGATAATACTGTGAAACCACACTAATTGTAGGTAATTCAGAAGGGCATGCTATCTCGCAGAATATAACCCCAAATTATCACTATTCTTTGCTAACTGGGCTGAGCCTTTCAGTGAAATTATCTGTGAATTCCAAGAACCCATGATTTGGAGGAAAAAGAGGTTTTCAGAGGCTCATGTATCTCTTGTACAAACAAGTGATTAGTGAACGCCTGACTGTAAAGATTCTGGACGTAACCATCTCTTCATAATCAGTGGTTTAGAGCAAAAGTAGAATGCAGTGTAAAGCAATGCAAATTCCTATATTTTTATGACTTTTTTTTTCCTTTGACCCTCTCTCTCACTCCCACCACATTAGGGCTCTTTGCATATAAAGAGTAAGGAGGTCTAGCTAGTCATTTAGTTTCCTGGAAAAAAAATCTATTTTTAAGTTACTTTCTTTTAAAATTCTATGTATTTAAAATAAAAAAGATTTTGCTCTCTGAGCTAAAAACACATATCACACAGACAGTGGTTCTAAATAAGTAAAAAGAAGATGCTCAGGTTCATCTGGGTTGCATTAGCATGTGAGAGGTATAGGATGGGTCAGATTGCCTACAGTTATTGTCGTCACTTTCATTCCTGGCTTTCCAACTAAATATTATCAACACAGGTGCAGCAATTTTAGATTAAAAGTACCTTCACCAGCATATCACTTCATCCCTGCCACAATCATTTGAATTTGGTAGAACAGGTTAAGTATTACTATTATTATTATTTATCATCTTATAGCAGAGGAAACAGAAGCTCAGGTATTTTGGTAGGGGGCACTGAGAAAATTCCTTTGGGAGCTAAAACTCTCAGAAATAAATATCATTTTAAAAATCACACTTTCTATCTTTAACATCCACTGTCATCCAACCAACCCTACTTTACCACGGCATTAACCAGCGGCTTTCCTTCTCTCTGTGAAATAGGCTGGTGCTCATGCGCCACACGGTTCTTGGGCCAGTCTCTGACTAAGCCCAGTACCTCTATTACTATCTGCTGAGCTTTACATGTTCACTGAGGTATACTTACATCCAAACCTCCTTATGGTAGGTGGAGTCATTATTGAAGCCCCGTAATTTAATTTTACAGAAATTAATGAAACATGAAGGTGCAAAGAGAAAGGGAGTTGTTCTAGGAAATAATTGTATGTTAAACAAGTTTTTCATTGGATAAAAAAAAGGACTCAGTAAAGAAAACCACAGTCAAATCAGGTACAGGAGACAATTGTAAAAATTAGTGCAAAGTTTGAATCTGTGCAGGATCCTGCATTCATAAGTCCTTTACAAATTTTTCTGCGTTCTCTCTCATTAAAAAAAAAAAACCTGAAATGGGCATTTTTGATGATATATAAAGGCCATGATTTCCATAAGCCATATGATCTAGAACTCCAACTTCAGACCAACAGTAATAGAACAAAACGAATCTCATAAAGAAAATGAACAAATTTTAGTGTGAAAAAATGTACATGTCTTAAGATAAAATAAAGCATTAGAGTTTTTTGGTTGCTGTTTTTGTGATTTTTCCACTCTAACTTTTTTGACTAATAGTGTCAAATAAGACGGATTCTAACTATAGTTAGTAGCAAAGCAAGCTAAGACGAGTAAATAAAACCTAGCAAAATAACAATTAAGGTGCAATTATATTTGGAATATAAGCATGTTTGAAAGGACAGGTGAGTGATTTTGCTTGAGAGCTGTCACTTTCTGAATTTCAGGCCACCCTTAACTGCTTTGGCAGTATAAGCATCAGACGGCTGGTCATGTAGGAAATGGGAATGAGAGATTAGGCTTCCTGGCATGGCTGGGCAGTGCTAGGCCAGGCTGCCTCTCTAGATATCATAATAGCTAGTTCTGGTCCTCCCGGAAAGCTGAAAGCTGGTCAGCTGGACTCCACTGTCTACATGCCAGGTTGGCCTTCAACATTACCTTCCTTGACCTCCTCTGGACAGACACTCAGGTTCTGAGACTCAGTTTGCTTGTTTCTTTTCATTCTTGGTACAGGCATAGCTCGTTTTACTGAGCTTCGCTTTCTGTGCTTTGCAGATACTGCATTTTTCACAAATTGAAGGTTTGTGGCAAACCTGCTTGGAAGAAGTCTGTAGGCACAATTTTTCCCAACAGCTTTTGCTTATTTCATGTCTGGTCACATTTTGTTAATTCCCACACATTTCAAACTTTTTCATTATTATTACATTTGTCACGGTGATCTGTGATCAGTGATCTTTGATGTTACTATCGTAATTGTTTTAGGGTCGTACCAACTGTACCTACCTAAGACCACAAACTTAATTGATACATAGGTGTGTTCTGACTGCTCCACTGACTGATCATTCCCTGGCTCTGTCCCCCTCCTGGGGTCTCCCTATTGATTGAGACACAACAATACTGCAATTAGGCCCAGTAATAACCCTCCAGTGGCCTCTACGTGTTCAAGTGAAAGGAAGAGTTACATGTTTCTCACTTTCAATCAAAATCTATTAATGATTAAGCTTAGTGAGGAAGGTATGTCAAAAGTTGAGATAGGCTGAAAGCTAGATCTCTTGTGCCAGTTTGCTAAGTTGTGAATGGAAACGAAAAGTTCTTCAAGGAAATTAAAATTGCCACATCAGTGAACACATAAATGGTAACAGTGAGAAACAGCTTATTGATGATGAAAATATTGGGATTATTGAATAAGAGCTTGGCAATTATTTATTTATTTATTAGAAAGTAGTAAGGCTCATGAAAATATAAAGCCTGGGAATTTCTAAAGATAATGCTACCTTCATTTTTTTTGGAGGAAATGATTTTTGTCTATTCCAAACAATGATGCTGAACACAATTGAAAGTTGGCACATTTTTGGTAAACAGCATTTTCCTGGTAGTGTGAAGTTTACTGCATATTTCTGTTTGAGCCAGAATTCTCCATATCATTTTGATCTGCAAAGCATCAAAGTTTCCTCCATAGTATTATATTTACATCATGGAAGGTCTGGACAGAAAGGAATTTCTAATTTTAATTTAATGAGTAACTCATTCTACTTAGATCTAAGAAATGTTGTTAACTCCGGCATGAGTTCTGGGTTGTCAGTTATTTTCTTTTATCCCTTGCTAGGTATTTTCGGCTTCTACTGCTGCTCTTGAGAAGCCGTTTTTTTAGTTTCATAGATGTGTCTAGTTGTGGGTTTATTTTTACTTATCTAGCCTAGGATTTAATGGTGCTTCTCAAATCTGAGAGCTCACATCTTTCATCACTTCTGGAATATTTCCTCAAACATTATTTCTTTTTTTATATTCTCTTTTTTCTTCTTCTAAAATATCCATTATATATACATTGGACGTTTACATATTGTCCTCTATGTCTTAAACTCTTTTTTTAAATGTTATTTATTTATGTTTGAGAGAGAGAGAGAAAGAGAGAGAGAGAGCGCACAAGTAGAAGAGGGTCAGAGAAAGCAGAAGAGAGAATCCCAAGCAGCCTCCTCGCTCAGTGCAGAGCCCCACATGGGGCTCAAACCCACAAACTGTGAGGTCATGACCAGAGCTGAAATTGAGAGTCGGACGCTTAACCAACTCAGCCACACAGGTGTCATTATATCTTAAGCTCTCCTTCATATTTTTGGTTATTTCAATCTTCTAGGTAATCTCCTTAGCTCTATTTTTAATCCAATCATTTATTCAGCTGTGTCCACCCTATTAAACTTGTCGAATGAGGTTTCCTTTTTAAATTTTAATACCTATATAATATTTATTTCTAGAACTCTTGGGTTTGTTTTAAAATCTTCCTAGTCCTTTTGATAGTAACTCGTTCCCTTGTGAAGTTTTAATTTTACATTTTGTGTGCTTAATTATAAAAGAAAACCATAGCTTATATTTACAGTTTCTTTTATTTTAATTTTTTGCGGGTCTGTTTTACCTATTTGTTGTTTCTTCTGATTTTTCCTTACGTTGCTTGTTTACTTGTGTTGTCTCATTATTTTGACTTGTGAGCTTCTGCTTGACTGGACTTTTTCTGTTGAGATTCTGTCACATAAATCCTGAGAGTGTATGCAGCCGTAAAGTTTTTGCCTTTGTTTCTGTAGAGTGCCAGGGAGAGTCATCAATCCAGCATTACTTTTTATACTGTTATACTTGGCATTTCCTGGTTTTTGAGTGCTGAATACTACAGGGAACCTTTTTATCTCTCCCATGAGAAGACCAGCTTTAGACAGATGGATTTACTGGTAGAATCCTATTTTGGTCGCCAGGTTTATTTTTGTGGTTCACCTTTTCGCTGAAGGCACAGCTTTCGCTGGAGCTCACTTCATGGAAGGTGTCCATTCCGACTCTTGGCTCCTGCAAGACCTAGGCTTTGTCTCCAGGTCTTGTATTGTCATTAAAGCACAAGTAACCCATAATTCTCTGGCTTTATGCCTTTTATTCACTTTTCGACTGCTGGGACTTTTCTTCCCCCCAAGCTCTGTTATGCGTGCTATTTTTATTTTACTATTTTATCTGTAAAACATCAAAGTCTCCTCTACAGTATTATATGTACATCATGGAGGGTCTGAACAGAACAGAATTTTAAATTTTAATACTGAGTAGTGCAGTCTACTCAGATTGAGGAAATGTTGCTAATTTATATTTTGCATTTTACACTATTTAAAATTTTAAGCAGTGTGACTAGTTTTGTTATGGGAGGTTTCTCAGATTATCTGGCTGTATGTATGCAGGAATATATATACAGATATATAGAGAGAGAATATACATTTTAAACTTCAAGAATCTTTTCCTACAAGGTAAAATAAAGGCAAAATGCTGTGGATGTTAAACAATTGTGCAGGAATTATCAGAGGCTTAATATGTTGATAGATTGATATGGGTGACCACAGCTGAGACTATTAGGGGCTGTTTTTATTATGCCACCACAGGCTTTCATATAAAATCCATAAAAATACATGTCTTTATTAAGCTGTATAGTTAATTAAGTACATACTTCATCTACTGACCCCAAAGATACCTTTTTCCAGGATAACTTTCAGAAAAAAAACAAAACAAAACTTTTCTATTGTAGCAAAAATGAAAGAAGGCAACAGACTTTACAAAACTTACAAACTGCTGCTTGTAAGCCTGGATTTTTTTAAATTAGCAGCCAGAATACACTATACTCATGGGATAGAACTCACCAGAAAGGTGAAAAGGAAAGCTCAGCTTTTGAAAATTCTTTCTGTCATGTTGGCGCTCTGAAAGCAAACACAAGTGGTGACTAAAACCAGGCGGTAAATGATCCCAATAAGATGCCCTAAAATGTAAGCAGAACCTAGGATAACACCCTTTGAGAATGTAAAGTACAGAATGAGTATTCGGTAAACTAGAACCTTAGGAAAGACTACTAGTATGCAGATGGAATCTGCTTTTAACCCTTTCTTGGATCTCTTACGAAGATATTGAAAAACTTGCTTGGCTTTTCGAAATTAGTCAGTGAGAGAAAGACAAATATCATATGACTTTATTCATATGTGGAATTTAAGACACAAACCAGATTAACGTAAAAGAAAGGAAGCAAAAATCATATAAAAACAGGGAGGAGGACAAAACAAAAGAGACTCAAACACAGAACAAACTGGAGGAATTTGGAGTGGGGGGGATGGGCTAAATGGGCAAGGGGCATTAAGGAAGACTTAATTCCTTAATTAAGGATGATTAATTAAGGATGAGCACTGGGCATTATATGTAGGGGATGAAATCACTGGATTCTACTCCTGAAATCATCATTGCACTATATGCTAACTAACTTGGATATAAATGAAAAAAAAAAGTTGCTTGGCTTTTGTAACTTCCTTCAAATCTTTTTTTCAAAGCTCACCTTCCCCTTTGACCCCTCCTTCAGCTCAGCCCATCCAATCTCCCTATCCTACGCTGCCCTCCCCCCATGCCATTTATCCCTTCTAATTGCTGTAGTTTTATGAATTTATTATGCTTATTGTTTTTAATCTGGCTTCCCCAATAGCAAGTTAAAAATCGACCAATGGAAGGTGTCTTTGTATGCTTTGTTTACTAATATACTTATATTGCCAACAACTAGAAAAGTATCTGTCACACAGGAAGTGCTCAAAAATTACTTGGGATATGAGTAGTTTTTTTCATGTCCCTGCCTATAAACCACAGTGATAATTCATAGCCCCTCATTTCCTTACAGAGATAGGTGGAGTATATTGATTTATCTGAAAGTATGCCAAGTATATTGATTTATCTGAAAGAAACCTGCCATTCACACAATGACACTAATTACCACTTCTTGGAAGCATGAAGCGAAATTGTCTTTAAATGCCTGAAAGTTCCCATCTTAAATCTGTTATTAAGTACACGGCAATTTTCCTTAGACAATATTTCTTGTACAGCAACCGAAAATATATAACGTTCACTGCTTGAGTAAAGGTCATACCTCATTTTTTTCTTTGAGTTTTGTGATCATAACAATCACGGGGCTGTCTTCCTGCCAAACCATGTGCCAGAAATCATTCACGGTGTTGATCATGGGGCCCTGTGTGGCAATGAAAGCTTTCTCTTTGCCACTGTAGCCCTGGTTTGAGGAAAGAGACAGAAATATTGGCTTTGAAATTCATGCTTTGCACTGAAAGCTTAGAACAAGTTCAGAACAAAATGGTTCTACTAGGGGCACCTGGGTGACTCAGTCTGTTAAGTTTCTGACTTTGGCTCAGGTCATGATCTCATGGTTTTTGGGTTCGAGCCCCGTGTCGGGCTCTGTGCTGACAGCTAGCTGAGAGCCTGGAGCCTGTTTCAGATTCTGTGTCTCCCTCTCTCTCTGACCATCCCCTGCTCATGCTGTCTCTCTCTCTCAGAAATAAATAAAACATTAAAAAAAAATTTCAAAATGGCTCTACTAGTCCAAATGCAACACATCTTTTGCGGCTTCACTGATTCTACACAATTCATGTGGCTATTCCCCCTGTGAGTCAAGCACAGCATATGGTAGTGAGGGTCATAATGCTCAGTTCTCAGCAGAGCAGGCCCTAGACAGCACTGCAGCCACAGACACACAGGAAAGGAAGACTCAATGTAAAAGACCCACTACCAATGTTGATCATGACTAAACAAACAAGTAAACTTGCTAGTAACCGAGTTAAATAAAAATTAATCCACTCGGAGAAAAAAAAAATCCCCCAACAATTCCACATAGTGAGTTGACATGCTCATTAGAAAGAAAATGGTATTTATTTACTTACCCTAATATAATTAGCATTAATGTAGGTGCTCAAAGAATCAGTTACATTTTTTGGTCTTAAACACACTCTGCTGAGGGGGTCTAATGAAGAAAACAAGAAGGAACGTATTAGACAAATGTACCCTTTTAAAAGTTCCTTAGAACACCAATAATTGCACGTAACACACTTTTTCATTTATATACTGGTGATCTTGCTTGTGTCAATGTTTACTGTTGATGTGTCTGTGTGTCTGTCTCTCAATCGATCTGTGTTTATTGAAGGACAATTGGGCCCATCTTGACCTCTCCCCTGTCCCTTAACACAAATCCTGCCCATAAGCTTGAGACGATTTTATTCATCATGCCATTTTTGGGTGGGTTCCTGATTCTTGACCCTATTTCTTATTTATGCTCCTTTTCTTGTTCTTTGGATTTGGATCTTGCACCAGATTTCTTTGCTCATTTCCTTCTTCTCTTCTGCCCCAAAGCAAACACTTGGTCTGCCCTGAACCCCCTCTTGCTAAAGAGGTTGTCTTTAGTAACCATGTGTGGCCCTCTGTTCACCTACAGCATGAAAACCTGACATTGCTTAGACTGCTATAGTGTTAGCAATATTGTCTTAACTTCTCAAGTCACTTTCCATCAAGAAGTTGAAATGCTCTTTGCAAACCATGGTGTTAGAAAAAATATGGTAGTCATTTTTACCAACGTTTACATACATGAATTCAGATTGAATCATCCTTTTATGATTTCTTCAATCTGGTACCATCTGAGCATCCTGAGGCAAGGATGGCGATTTTTTTTTATCATCTCTAAGAATTGGTGTCTAGCACAGTGTTTAAATATGTAGTAGATATTCAATGTCTACTGCATTGATTTAAATGGCCCCTTCCATTTTTTAAGAAGTCACTTCTATACATTCTTCTTTAGGAAGTGTTCTATTGCTGTTCTTCCTCAGAAAGATAAACTTCTGAGAGTTTATCGTACGCACTGTTCTTACCTTCTTCTCCACAATTTAGTCTTCCTGTGTACACTCCAATCTATCCTAACCTGAGTTTTATGTAGAGTACACTCTTGCTCATGTCCATCAATGACCGTTTTGTTGATCTATACCAAATAAGCCCATGGTGGGTTTTTCTTCATGTTTTATTTTAATATTTACCATCATGTATTTTTTAAATGTTAATTTAACTTTGAGAGAGAGAGAAAGAGAGGGAGAGAGAGAGAGAGAAACATGAGTGGGGGAGGGGTAAAGAGAAAGGGAGACACAGAATCTGAAGTAGGCTCTAGGCTCTGAGCTGTCAGCACAGAACCCCACGTGGGGCTTGACCCCACAGACTATGAGATCATGACCTGAGCTACAGTCAGACACTTAACCTACTGAGCCACCCATCTTGTACTTTAAGTGCTTAAATTTTTGCCTGTCCTCAATGAATTATAGTGAGCCCCTTGAGGGGAAGATCTGTATTTAATTCACTTTTTAAAAAAAATTTACTTTTGTATCCTTTGTGATTTCTATCTGGTATGTGGCTCATAGAGCATTTAACATCACAATTAATTTCTATTAAAGTTGAGACATTGCTGTTAACTTTCTAGATACTTTTTTCTTTTTTAGTGAAGGGGACAGGAAAATTTTCATTCCTTTTCACTATTCACTGATTATTAGAAGTTTCCACAAAAGCTTGAAACCACTGAGACTTGAAAAGAGGCCCACTTCCTTCAGTTTTTATAATGCCTACCAAGTATATAATTTATTGGGAACTCAGCCTTATAAAAGGCTTAGAAGCAGGTTTCTTGTCAAGCTTAATTAGGTTTATTTTGGAAATTGGTAATTTATAAGATTTCCAAGTATTTAGAGGTTTCCAAATTCTTTTTTTTTTTTTTAAACAAGAAGGCAGCATGTGACTGAGGTGGAAAATTAGCGTTCTAACCAAAGCCTTTTTTTAAAAAAAAAATCTTTATTTATTTTTGAGAGAGAGAGAGACAGAGCATGAGCTGGGAAGGAGCAGAGAGAGAGGGAGACAGAATCGAAACAGGCTGTAGGCTCTGAGCCTTCAGCACAGAGCCCGACGTGGGGCTTAAACTCATGAACCCAACTGTGAGATCATGACCTGAGCCGAAGTTGAATGCTTAACTCACCGAGCCACCCAGGTACCCCTCTAACCAAAGTTAGACTGGACTAATAAAAAAAAGCTGAGGATTTAAAAAAATCCAAAACTTTACCATTGTCATCATTACTGTTATAATTTTATTCATTTTATGCATTTTAAGTGTACATATGTAGTACAAATCTATATATTGGTCATATTCACTCTGATAACTTTTTTCAGAATAGATGTTTCTAGATTATATGCTAAATATTTAGCATGCCACTTATGATACATCTGGGTAGTAGCAATAACCATTCCAACATTGAGCAATTTGTCTTCCCTCTCTTCTATTCTTCTGCTTTTACTTCCATCCTTCTCTCCTCTTGCTTTCTTCCTCTTTCTTCACCCTTTTCTCCTCCCTCCCTCTCTTCCTCTCTTATTCCTTCTTTTTCTTCTGCTCTCCTTCCTGTTTCTTTTTTCCTCTCAACAAATTATTGAACACACAGATTTAGTGTATAGAACATGTGAAATTTCCCCATTTTTTCTTCTTTAAAATACTTCTGGCAATTTAAGGCTTCTATTTAACAGACAAAATGGTACCTGGATCCTGATATTCTGATTGCTTCCTATCGTATCAGATTTTATGAAAGGTTATCCTGTGCTGAAGATTTCTTCTCCAGGAAGATATATGTTTCAGATTTGGAGTCAAGAGGAGAAGCTACCAGCTGAGGGAAGGGTACACTCCTAGTGTATCCCTGGGCAAAGACAGGAATGAGTGGAATAGCATAGATTTCCTAGGTAAATTCAAGATAACTGAGAAATGAGAGGAAAGGCAGTGATTTGGCCACAGCTTCAAGGTGAGTGGGAGTCACCTTCAGTTTGTTGCAGGGGAGAGAGAAGACTTCAGGCCTGCAGTGTCTCAAATGGTGCCGTTTAGCCACATGTAGCTGAATTTAAGTTATTAAAATAAAATAAAATTTAAAAAATCACTTCCTCAGGTGCACTGCCTATACTTCAAGTGTTTAATTACCACATGGAGCTAATGGCTGTCACATTGGTGATATAGAACACTTCCATCACTGTACAGAGTTTTGGTGGGCAATGCTAATCTTGGCAGTGCAAGATGGTGATTATATGGAAACTCGCTGTTTTTAGATCCATGTGAAAATTATGAGAGAAAACAGGACCCTGAAAGAGTGTTTGAAACTGTCAACTTGTCTTTGCCTAGTTGGTGCTCCTATTTTCTGGAATTGGTTCTGGGGTTAATGATGAATTCATCTTCAGTTAGGTAGGGAGAAAGGAGAAACTAACATTACCTGAGGACCTACTATTAGTTGGAACTTCCTTTTTCACATATTATTACTTAATTCTCTACACAGCCCTGTGGAGTGATACTATTATCACTATCTTTAAGGGATGAAGAAAGATTAGTGTGGAACAGAAAGATTAAGTCGTTTCCATAAACGACTTGATGCTCTCACCAAGGTCGGGAGATGGTATTTTGTTTTACCACACAACTTGTCTTAATGAGTGGCTCACTTATTTGCATACCTATTCTGTTCTGGGCACTTAATAGAACATAAGTTCTATTCCTAAATAGGTAGGAAATATTACCAGACTTTAAATTTTTAAATATGAATGATGGCCAAAGTAATTAGGTTTAATTAATAGAGTTCTTTAATTTTATCTATGTTATTTTATATTTGTATAAATAAATTGTTTGCATGGAATAAATATACATGAAATTTATTACGATACTTCATTGTTGTGCATATAACTTCATATTAATAGATGATTTTTCCCCATTGTTTTTGTGATTTAGGACATAGATATATTTTCATCACTAATATTTGCTTATGTTCCAAAATAATGTGATATAAAACTTGACCTTCGCACTTTAGTCTACCATGTAGAGTGTTCTGACCCAGGCTGACATCATCCTCAGAGAAACAGCTATTATTTAATTGGTTCTTGGCTATCCATATTTCTGCTGTAAAACATCCTCCAAATTATATAGCCTCACTAATATGTACAAGCTGGAAGCTTTTAAACTTGGGTTTATTATAGGTTAAAACACTAAAAAATCATACTTTTTAAAATATTAATCATTTTTAAATATTTTATATAATGTTTCAAATTTATCCCATGTTACAGTCTAATATCAACCATAAAAAAACAGCTTTCCATATAAATTCCAGTCTTTTCTGATGATTTTCAACTAATGGTGTGGCGTGCCCAAACTGTATTTACTAAATCGTGTTTTGTGCAACAGGGGTGTAGGTGGGGCTTTCAGACATTTTCAACAGAAAATTCATTATTTGCGACATCAGTTGTCAGCACAGGTGCCCTGGTTCAAGCGATCCACCCAGTTCTGGGAATGGAAAAGCTGACACAGGACTATGAAGGGCTATGTCTGATATCATCTGGGCAGGAAATAGAGAAGGCTGAACTTTAAATAATCCTAATAATTTCCAAATCCATCTGACATTAGATGGTTAGGTAAAACTGCAATGGATGTATATGCCCTAATTACGTATGTTTGGTAAATTTTAGATGAAAAAATCTTGAGAGAGACACACAGAGATAGAGACAGAAACAGAGAGAAGCACTAAAGCACTATTTTTAACGCATGGCACTTTCATTCCCTTTAGCCAGCTGTAGTTATAAAATACCTGTATATAAAATATACAGGACTATATTACATGGACCAGTAATAAAAATATGTCATAATGTTTTCAACTCCACCAGAGGGGGAAGTCCAAAGACACCATTAATAGTAATTCTTGATATTGCCATAAATATGGAGAATTTGATGTTTTATGAGGGAATTAATGGGCTTGACTATGAAGACTCTACTATTTCAATATCCATACTTTTTAAAGTTATTTTTAATGTTTATTTATTTTTGAGAGGGAGGGAGAGCAAGAGTGGGGGATGGGCAGAGAGAGAGAAGAGACAGAGGATCCAAAGCGGGCTCTGCGCTGACAGCAGAGAGCCTGATGTGAGGCTCGAACTCACGAAATATGAGATCATGACCTGAACTGAAGTTGCACGCTTAGCCAACTGAGCCACCCAGGTACCCTCAATGTCTATACTTTTTAAAAGTCTTTGTGGCTCCACCTTTTCAGAGCTATTGCTTTGAGTTGTTAATGGATATTGTCAAAATCCCAGCTATCTATTTGTGTAGTGATTGACAATGAAATGTTTTCATTTCTCTTGGCTATATTACTAGGAGTAGAATGTCTGCATCATATAGTAACTCTAGGCTTTGCCTTTTGAGGCACTACCAAACTATTTCCTAAGTAGCTGTACCATTTTACATCCCTATCAGCAATGTGTGAGGATTCCAGTTTTTTTTACATCCTTGCTAACACTTTCTATAGTCTATCATTTTTATTATAATCATGTGGATAGGAAGTGGTATCTCATTGTGGTTTTGATTTACCTTATGGCTAATGATGTTGGGCATCTTTTCAAATGCCTATCGATCATTTGTACATATTCTATGGAGAAATGTCTATTCAAGTCCTTGGCCCATTTTCAAATTGAGTGGTAAGAGTTCTTTATACATGCTAGATAGAAGTCCCTTATTAGATGCATAATTTATGAATATTTTTTCCCCATTTTGTGAGTCAGCTTTCTATCTTCTTGATGGTATCCTTTGACCTTTGATGCATAAAACTTTTTAATTTAATAAAGTTCAATTTATTTTTTCTTTTGTTGATTGTACTTTTGGTGTCATATCTAAGAAATCATGGACTAATTCAAGATCATGAAGATTTATATCTGTTTTATACTAAGAATTTTATACTTTTAGCTCTTACCTTCAGGTCTGATCCATTTTGAATTAATTTTTGTATATGGTGTGACACAGAGTCTGATTTCTTTTTTTTTTTTTTTGCATGTGAATGTTAGTTGTCTCAGCACCATTTGTTGAAAAGACTATTTGCCTATTGAATTTTTGATACTCTTGATGAAAACCAACTGACCATAACATGCGACACAATAAAATTTTAGAACCATGTGTCTATTGGAATTGTGAGCTGACCATTGTAATAAAAGTAATACAGGATAAAGTTATTATCCTCAAACTAATTTAATGGTTATTAGTGTTGATGCATATTTATATCTCCAACTTTAGTGTATATGGAGAAGTTGTGAGGATGGGAAGCGATGAGGTGGGGGTTAGTGGGTAAGGCTGTGCTTTATAATGCAAACGACTTAATCCAGGAAACTTACTTGGCAAAATGGTCTTATAGCGATTTTTAGTTCCATGACGTGGAATGTCAATTTCTTTGGGATCCACAAAGTTCATTGGAATTTCCTGCAAAAATAAATGATATCAAATTAGTGTATCTAATGCTGCCACAAAGAAAATCTTCCCAGGGGGCCATCTGATACAGAGCCCTACAGAACTTCAAAGTCAGTTATAAAACAACAGACTACCACCTCTGGTTGTCCAACACCCTTCCTTTCATCAACATATTAGCTGCACCCTGGCAAGCTGACTCTAAGAAACACCTCTCTGTGTTAGAAAGTATTAATTTATATATGGTTATCAAAGCAACGTGCAAAACTTTAATCGGAGTTTGAAATTTCTATTCTATAATAGAAATTTTTAATTTCTATTTCATAGAAATTAATTAATTTCAATTAATTTCATAATTGCTAGAAATACGTACCCAGGCAGCCTAAAATTGACAATGTACTCAGATTTCTTTAAATCTTTGTATAAGTTCAGTACCAAAAATTTCACTACAATGGATTATCTTTTAACATTGTGTGACTTTTTTAGGATTATTAAAACCTCCCTCCCCAAATGGTAAATATAAAGGGCTTTTTTTTTTGTTGATTCAGGCGATAGTAATATGGTGCTTTTTTGTATTAAGGAATGGCTTATAATTGCACAGTTCCATTTGTGTTGTAAATGCAATATTTTTAGTGCAGGGCATCCAGATACTATCTTCTCCCATTTAAAGAGAATATAAATACAGAATACATGTATTCTGTATGCTTGGAGATGGAACAATCAGAGTAGAAATGTCTCTGTGGAAATGAATTAGATCTAAAAGGTGAGCTGACTGGGACAAAGAAAGAAATGAGCCAAATTTTTCAAAAGGGTTGAAAAAAATATTTAAAGCTTTGATTATACAAAATAGTATGATCTCTAATTTAAATTTTGCACAAGATTGCTTAGATAAATGTTAACGTGAAATAAGAGAACTTGTATCTTTAGATTACATGAAATACTAATTTTGTTACTTAAAGTTTCTTCAATGGAAAATATAACTCAACAGCCCAATATTCATTGAAATGGAAGAAACTATCCATAAATTAATTCAAATTGTCCCGGTTTTCAGTCAATCTGAAAATCTGAGGAAAGCCTGAGTATCTTATCAATTTGAGATGTGGTCTACAGACAGACCACATTTCCTAAACGTGCATTAGTTTAGGTATTTATAATATTCATCCCTACTCTCTGTTCCAACCAGATGTTATAACTTCTCAGTTCCAACTTACCAAAATGAGCAAAATTGTTGGATGTTCACTAGAAAGCACATATTCATGTTTGGTAATTTCAAACAGGTCAGTCTATTTTGGCAATGCTACCGTATGTTTGTTTCGCTTCTGCTTCTTCCTGTTTTCTGACACTGAGACTTTATCATCTTCCAGCATTATCTTTCTTTTTGGTACTCCTTGTCATTTTTCCTTTAAGGGCTTATCTCAAAACACAAAGAGCTATCTATGGTTCTAGAAAAGAATACTAGATGTACTTTTAAGTAGCTGTAAGATCACTTGTTCTTGCATCTCACTAGGTCTCATTTTCTTCATACATGAAAAGATGACACACTGCCAAGTCTAATTGTAAAAACTGAACGTTCATGTTTTACTTTGGCTGCTTAATAGCAGCTGATGAGGCTAATAGCAGATCTAGCCTATTGCTGGATATTTCATCATTAGTGTGGTTACAAATATCTGAACAGACCTTGGGTTGATCAGTTTATTAAAATCAATAGACTTGGCTTAAGATGTACAACCGATTTAAGATTAAAGTGAGCTATAAAAGGCATAATCCCCTTGGCCAGTAATTAGGACTAAGAAGGTCTAATCTGTCTTCATGCTCTCTGGGTTGGAAATGCCTTTTCATGAATCAAGTTATCACCAGCTACACTGATGGGTTGCCATCATTTTGGCTAAAACTCCCAATCATCTTTAGCCCTCATTTGGTCATCTCCCATGTTTCTTATTTCATTTAACGTCACTATATGCACCCTGTTCCTCACGTCACAAACTGAGGTATCATTCCAGACTTCTTCCCTTATCCTGGCCACCTCTCGATTCAGCCCCCTTCTTGCAGAGTCCTATAGGTTTTCCACATTTTCACTCTTACTATCTTAGTTTAGACCACATGCTTGGTCCACAGGAATAACTCTAGGCCCCCAACATACCCCTTTCTAATGCTCACTCCACTGCAGATAGAGCGATCTTTTAAAAACTTAAGGGGGTGCCTGGGTGGCTAAGTCAGTTGAGCGTCCGACTTTGGCTCAGGTCATGATCACACGTTTTGTGGGTTTGAGCCCCACATCGGGCTCTATACTTATAGCTATCTCAGAGCCTGGAGCCTGTCTTTGGATTCTGTGTCTCCCTCTTTCTCTGTCCCTCCCCTGCTTGCACTGTCTCTCTCTCTCTAAAAATAAAACAACAACAACAACTTAAGATAAAGTCCCAACTTTTAAATATGTAGCAAGACTCAGGTTTCTTTATATCTCTGAGGCTCAAGATTTGCCACTTTCCACCTTGATTTCAATGCTCCAGCTAAATCGAACAATTTAATTCCCCAAACAGTGACAGTAAGTCTCTTCCTTCTTTCTGAAACGTCTCTTCTCTACCCAGCTCTTTCTTGATACTTTGCCTGGCCAGTTCCTGCCTATTCTGCCTCAATTTAGTAATCGCATTCTAGTCTGAACACTTACCAGTACTTGATGAGATGTAGGATGGATCTAAAACCTTGTTCTTAACCTTAACTTTTTAAACTGTAACCATTTGTTTACTTGAGTGGAGGACAGTGACATTTTAGTAGGTGCCTCTAGGGTCTAGTTTATCAAAATACCTACTGACGAGTGAATAAAGAACAGCTGGCTCACCATGAATTCACTTTGGAGTAAATGTGAACTTGCCACGACGTCCCTCAGCTGTGACCTTGTGAGGATTCGGCTGGCTGACTGCAGATACTCCATTGCTACCTTCTCTCGTGGGGTTGCGATAGCCACAAAGGGTTCGACATTCCCCAAGCTACTCATGTCCAATGTAAGAGATACGTTGGACCCTCGTCTACATTGGGGAAGAATGGTAATAGGTTTAGACACCACTTGAATTATTTTGATCACACAGATTCGTCTTTCTGTACATACACACAATTCAATGAGAACTTTTACAAAAATAAGGATCAAATGTCTCTTCTTCTGATGGCACCATAGTCGACTATAGCAACTATCCATAGTTTCTTTACAACAAATTGAAGTTTTGTTGTTGGAAATAAGTCTGAATTGAGAAAATTTACTATAATTTATTAATGGATGTATCTGATACACAAATAATAAAATGGCTAGTAATGTTAAGTCAAAAATTTAGGAAAAGTAAACATCACATTTGAATTGAGAAATCATGTATAATACAAAGCAATTTTATTTTTTTGTATGTCTGAGAGCTCAGTATAGAAATCATATAGCCACCTAATATTTTTGACATATGATCTTATCGGACATAGGAAGCTCAGAATGGGAAAATCAATTTTAGTTCACATTATTGCCATTGAAATAGTTTAAAAGTTTTAAAATATATATACTTTTTTTATAACTTCTTAAAAAATTTTTTTACATTTATTTATTTTTGAGACACAGAGAGAGACAGAACACAAGTGAGGGAGGGACAGAGAGAGACACAGACACAGAATATGAAGCAGGCTCCAGGCTCCGAGCTGTCAGCACAGAGCCTGACCCAGGGTTCAAACCCACAAACTGTGAGATCATAACTTGAGCCAAAGTTGGACCCTTAACCAACTGAGCCACCCAGGTGTCCCAATATACTTTTTATAACTTCTGAGTGAATCTCCCAAAAAATAGCATCTGTAGCCTCCATGTACGTACTCATCCATGCATGTCTATGTCTATGTCTATGTATTTATTTAATTCTGTGATAAACTCATAAGGACCACAGATTCTTATTCTCAGTTACATTTATCTTCCCTCTGTAATTTCCCTCATTTTGTTGAGAGGTGAGGTGGGGCTCTTCCAACTTATAAGGGTGCCTTGTGTCCTGAACAGAAAGTGTGAGTGCCTCTGACCAGTAACATTAGCTGCGTAGAACCAAGAAGTAACTATAAAATAGCCTGATCAAGACTAAAGGTCAAAATCAGAGATTTTACTCAGAAAAACTGTTAAGTTAAAGGGCCTTAGGCATGAGTCAGGTGATGAAATGTGGTGCCAACTGGTTGGTGTTCCAAAGAAATGGAAAACAGGAAAAAACAGGTCATAACAAAAGTAAACAAAGACAGTAAAAGCAAATACTAGGCCTAGCATATTTCTTTTGAAGGGTGATTTACACATTTACTATGGAGCACTACATTAGGAAATATTCAAGTAGCTAGAGCTTAATTTGAAACAGTGGAAAAATTATTAGAAATACAACAAAACCTCATTGAACAAAAGTGAGTAAGTTCTTTCCTCTAATGGAATTGCCTCTGGTTGTAGCTTTTGTAGCATACTATAATCTGATACATAATATCCTATTTATTAATTTCTAAATGGTGTGTAAAAGAATAAATGCTTTGTAATTGTAGTTTTAATTCTTACTTTGGCTTGATGTTTATATATGTGTTTACAAATTAATTTTCCTTATAAATTTCTAGTTATAGTAATGCAAATCAATCAGAATGGTTGGACTTCTGATGTTTGGGACTTCTTAATTCTTTCTTTTATTTTATTTATTTTTAATTTTTAAAATATTTTATTTATTTCTGAGAGAGAGAGAGAGGCAGCATGAGCAGGAGAGGGTCAGAGAGAGAGGGAGACACAGAATCCGAAGACAGGCTACAGGCTCTGAGCTAACTGTCAGCACAGAGCCCGACGTGGGGCTCAAGCCCACGAACCATGAGATCATGATCTGAGCCAAAGTCGGACGCTTAACTGACTGAGCCACCCAGGCGCCCCTAATTCTTTCTTCTAGACAAATATTATGATAAAGTTTTCTGAATATTTTATAGATACTTTTGTGGGCAACTAGTTTGATTATCTATTTACCTCTAGTGAGCTAGCTATAAATTTATCTATGTACATATGTATGTCTATATCACCTTATTTATTATATTATTACATATTATTAAAAATATTATTCCAATCTATTTTTTCCTACTGGAATTTCTCAAAGACTGAGAGGTATGTGAGTCTTCCACAACACTTGTGTTTGTTATTTTTCCTTATATTCTTAACAATTTTTACTTTATATATTTCAGCCATTGTTTTATTTAAAGTGATTCATAATTACATCTTTACTGTAAATTTTTATCAGTATTAAATATTTACTTTCCTATTAATTTAATGTCTTGCCTCACATCTGACTACTTTTTCCAGTTTTATTGAGACATAATTTACATACAGCACCATATAAGTTTAAAATGTGCGGCATTCTTTTTTGATTTAAGTATATTGTGAAATGATTACCACAGTAAATTTAGTTAACATTCATCATCTCTTAGGCATACAAAAAAAAAAAAAAAGAAATGGAAAGGAAAAAGAAAAATGACAAAGAAAACAAAGTTTTTTATTTGTGATGAAAACTTAGGATCTACTGTCTTAAAAACTTTCAGATATACTAGACAGCAGTATTAGCTATAGTCATCATGTTGTACATTACATAATTTAGTATGTATTATTTATCTTAACTGGAAGTTCATATCTTTTGATAACCTTCCTCCAATTAACCCTTCTGCAACTTCCCACCTCTGACTTGAGAAAAATTAATATTGGTATACCTGCCTTTTTTTTTTGCATGTTCTTGAAAACCCTTTTCTAGTTTTTATCATTATGTTTAACTTTCTTGAATCACTGTGTTAGGGATTAGGGAATAACATTCTGGATACCCCATAGAATATCACCTAGCTGAGAGAAGAACGTTTGGCCCCCACCATTTTTTTTTTCCCTGTGGTTGGTGTTGGTGACTGACAGGGCTCCTGTGGTTTTGTTTTGTTTTTTTGAGAGAGTGAGGGGGAGAGAGACAGAACCTGAGAGGGGGAGGCACAGAAAGAGAGAATCCCAAGCAGGTTCTGTGCTGAGCTTGAAACAGGGCTCCATCTCATAACCCCTGACATCAAGAGTTGGACGCTTAACCATCTGAACCACCCGGGTGCCCCAAGGGCTCCTGTGTTTTGAGTAGGAGGTAAGCAGTTGAGAAAGAGTGAAGAGTGGTTCTCTCAGACTAAGAATTTTAATGTACTTTTACTGGGAAAACAGTTTTTACTAGTTTCTCAATACAGTTCCTCTGGCCTTTAAATTGTCAGAAATTCCTTCCTCATTCTGATAATAGATTGTTTATTGGTTTTTAGTGTATTTGTGAGAATTTGGCTTTTGCTGGCTTCAGAGACTTTTTTTTAGTAAGGCATTGGGAAAGGCCATTTAAGGGATTGCTAATCAGATTTTATTTTATTTTTTATTATTAAAAAATTTTAACATTGATTTACTTTTGAGAGAGAGAGAGAGACAGAGTGTGAGCAGGGGAGGAGCAGAGAGAGAGGGAGACACAGAATCCGAAGCAGGTTACAGGCTCTGAGCTGTCAGCACAGAGCCCGATGCAGGGCACAAACCCACAAATATGACCTGAGCCAAAGTTGGACGCTTAACTGACTGAGCCACCCAGGCACCCCTCAGATGCCATTTCAATCAGTCTTCAGCCCCAAAACACTAGAGTATCTGCAATTTGTCCATTAAGTGTTATGCAGTGCTACAATGATTTAGTAGAAAGAGAGAGCACTTCCATTTAGAGTGGCCAGAGATGTGTGAGGAACAGGCATTTGAGTTGAGCCTTGAAGGTAAAAGTTCAGTGGATAAATTTTCGGTAAAGGGTTATTTCAGGGAGAAAGCTCGGCAGAAGAAAAAAAATGTGGAAGCAGGAAATGATAAGGCATCTTTGAGAAACGGCATATAAGCAGTTTGAGCTACAGTTCATTTGTATGAAAGTGTATTTTGGAATGGGGGCAGGGTCATGTAGGAAAAACTAGAGAGAAGCAAGAGTCACAGAAATAAGACTATAAAAAGCCTGCCCAAATCCAGAAGAGAATTGTGAACATCAGGTTATGTAAGTTTCTATTAGGGTTTTCCATAGCACACCCTGCCTTGGGGGGAAGGGTTATTAGAAGCCTCTGAGATTCCATGTCTAATAGGGTCCATTTGATCTATTGAGAGACTTTTCTGAAGATTCGGTGATAAATCGAGAGACTTGGAAGCATTCATGCAACCTGACTTTGTAAGGAAGAACGACTTTTGTCTGGCAAGGGAAAGAAGAAAGGAAATTAATATTTATTAAACATCTATGATTTGCCAAGCACTGTTCTAAGCACTTTCACATATGGTATTTCAATCTCTATGGCAGCTCTCTGAGGTTATTACTTTCCTCTATTTTATAGGTGAAGAAATAACTAACTTAAGAACATGAAAGTGGAACAAAGATTCAATCCAAGTTAGAATATAAAACCTGAACTCTTACTGCTTTGCTACCCAAAAGCAAAGTAATGGTGGGCAGATTATGTAGACTAGCCAGTGCCTCACACGGAGTTGGGGACAACTGCCGCAGGGAGGTCGAGACTACTGAAGTCTAAAGGTAGGATACTATTCAGAGCACAAATTCTCTCTTTACAGTTATATTTGTCTGGGCTCAAGTCCTACCTCTCCCATGTCCTTACGGTGGACCTTGGTCAGTCTACCTAGTCTCTTACATGTCAATTTCTTCTTCTTCTGGGAAATGAATAATTAAGAATACTTGCTTCGGAGGAATATTACAAGGATTGGCCAGATAGTAGAAGTAAACCACTTGTAAGTGTTGCCTGGCTATTATTTTGGTTAATAATGGAATAAAGTCTTATATAACTCTCACCTCTGCCTCTCTAGTGGATCTCTTTAAAGAGATCTTTGCAAAAATTCAAAAATTGTTTACACTGAGTTTAACTTTAACATCGTGAAATTAATGGATGGAATCTACACATTTGTCACTTCAGAGAAATACATCCTTCTTGATAACCTAGTTATCTTAAAATTTCCCTTCATTATGGCAAATCCATTTCC